TGTTACAGCCTTACTGAATTGGGCTACTCTCTTTACAATGAGTTTACCAAAAACTTTCAATAGGAAATGTAATTGCAATATATTATTTGAAGCCATATTAAGATTATCACTTTAAAGTCTCATAGCAAACACTGAGTACAGTTAATTTTTAAAAACATTTAGTCAAGCCTGGTGGCACATTTCTGCAATCCCAGCACCAAGGAAGCGGGGACAGGAGGATCTCCATGAATTTGAAGCCAGCCTGAACTGCATAGTGATACCCAGTCATAAAACAAAACAAAATAAAATAAAACAAAATGAAAGAAAGCAAGATATCCACTATTGACAAGCCCCTCCAACATTTAATTACTTTAGCTTGGTACCTATTATGTTTACAATTAAAATACTATGGATGTAAAAGATGCACAATACCTTACTTTAGCACCATGTGATCAAACAATTATCATTGGATGGCTCCAGAGAATCACTAATGAGCTACAAAACCTTTACACGTCTAGGTCAGTAGTTCGGATTAGACCTAGGTTGAGAGTGACAGAAAGTCATCATTGTCTCATGATAGTTCAATGGCTTATGTGGAGGGAATTCATTGTTTCAGGCTACATTCTAATGAGTGAGCATTCATCTCACATAAAGTCACCACTACTTATGACAGTAATTGGGAGAGATCTAGAGAATGAAAAATTCAACCAAGAATTTTGTTCTCTCCCTGCTATGACTACCCTATCTATATAAGAAATTATTAATGAAAAGTTCAATTCCTGGTACCACCAAAAATATAGATTATTAATGTGAAAAGATACAATGCTTTGCAGAAATACCTATGGAAAATAAGAGAAAGAGAGAAGGTAAGACTTTTAAAAGACAGTTGCCCAGAATCGAGCAAATCAAAATAAAATCAAGTCATCATCCAAAAGTTTTACTTAAGACTTCTATAAAAAATCATTTAATTCAGAAAATGTCCCTTTTGATTTGCCTCTTATCAATAAAATTATAATAGTCATATCAAAGCCTTTTATATTAGGGGGTCAAACGGATGATAAATGCTTTGAAATACTGCTCTCTTACCGGAAAGTTGTTACTACCGAAGCCAATATTTTCAGCTCGAACAAGTTATATTGAGTATTGTTAGTTAAAATAAGCTTCTCAATTTTTCTCCTAGGTATTTTATCACTAACATAAGACGAGCAATGAAAATGTAATGCAAGTGATTAAATTAAAAAGTTTCACAATAAAAGGCACATTGCCCTCCATCCCTATCAAAATGATGAATGTCTTTCTGAGGTATGACAAAAGTTACAATAAATGCTGCTGCTGAGTGCCATCCAGCTGGAAGGCAAATTTCTAAAAGCATTATGGTTTTTGCTTATCTATCTTATGCTCTGAATTTCATAAGATGCCATATCTGGTTTTTCCTCAAAGTCAAAAGAACCATGAAAGGTAAATGCATTAAATGCTCCAGCAGATGGAGTTAGTCAGGACAGTGCAACTGAAGAGACTCACGAAAGAGGACTTTCAGAACTGTTTCTGAAAGTGGGAAGAAAACGAAATGAGTCTGATCAGAGTGAGGCAAGATATTGTGAGAAGGATTATGGTAATACAATTTTACCATAATAAATTTTAAAGATTTGAATATTAACCATATTTTCCATCATTTCTTTTACATAAATACAAAATCGCGTATTTCTCTGTACTGTTATTTTTATATGTGCTTGTCTTTAGTTGTTTGGCAAGGAATAGACTCATGATTATTCTTCTTAGAACCACTACTACATGAAGTGTAAATCTGAGCAAATAGAAAACTGCCAATAGATGCATGAGCCTGTGCACAAAAACCTGTGCCACTGACATTGTAGTTTAATCACAACTGAGTTTCTTTTGAATTCAGAATTATTTACTGAAATCCAAAATGAAATTAAAAATGGTCACTAGTGATCATTTGTAGACATGAGCTTAGGGGAGATGCAACAAAATGAACTCAACTATCTGAAGATTGATTAATCTAGATTTGTCCTCTCCAGTATAGTACTGAGATAACAAGACACATGAAACTAAATAATCAAAGCTAAATAAAATCAGAAATTCACTTCCCTAGTTGCAGTGACCACTTTTAATTTGTTCTATAGTCCTATGCAGTGTTGCATTATATGGAATATTGGCGTTCCCTCAGCAAGTTCTTGGGCAGTACTGGTTTAGATCATATTTTGATTCCTATGTTGAATAATTTTTACACTAGAATATGTTTTCCTCTAAAAATCTTAATAAAAAAGATGATATTAATATCTTAACATTGTTTCTTATATCTGGAATTTAATTTTAAGAAGAGATATCCTAGTCATAGTGTTCTCAGATCTTTTAGTCTTTTTTTTTAAATGAATGATTGCACAATAATAAGCCTATAACTCTACTTAGAGGATGAGAATACACAAATACTTCTCCAAGGTCATAGAGAGGAAATCTCCTAGCATATCAGAATATTAGAACTGAGAAAGGACTCTTATTTAGTAATCTGTTTGAAATATTGTTCTCTAGTTTATCCTATTAATAATGACCTAACTAAAGAAAAACTAGGGAGATTTTGGCGGATGGGTGGATGGAAAAGAAGCAAGTGTTGACAAGTTTAATTTCATCTGAGTCATTATCACAGAATACATGGACGCTATCTTAGTAATCTGCTTTTTTCTCAGTTTATTCATAAGAGTGAAAAGAAAGATGATATCTTTATGCTGATAGCAAAAAGCTTTGGAGATCAAAAGTAAGTCTTTTATTAAATTCTTGTCTAGGAGTTCATTTGTCAGGTCTAGAAAGACTAGTTATTGTTACTGAGTACCTCACGATCATCTGTGATTGATATGGAGAAATGAATTTTGAAAGAATTCCACAAGCAGTAGGTCCATCTAACCCTTGCCTGTCAATTTTACAGCTAAGCAACAGTTCTTTGTTTTATTTGCCTAGACAATTCTTCCAATCAAGTCAAATCTACTTAAATTAGGATACTCAGAGGATAAGGTGGTGTTAAGAAACAAGTAAGGCTTTTAGAGTTAAAGGCTAATACTGATGACCATTTAACCATGTTTATAGGAGTATGAATAAAACTCTAATATATCAAAGATAAATCAGTAAAATTTACCATTCAAATATGATTTAGGCCACTAAAGTATATTTGATTTTGAAACTTTTATAAAAACTTCCATTTTGGGGTCTGTCAGAATGCTAACAAATTAATCTAAGTATGGGTTTAGAGAAAGTGGTCAGGAATATATTATTTGGGCATTGTATTTTAACCTTATGATATTATTAGTTCATATGTTCACAAGTAACTCATATTTTCTCTGGAGAATTTGCCTCCTGCTGTCCATCTCATGGGATAGAAAACTACTTAATTACAGTAGCCAGATACAGTGGCACATGCCTGTAATTCCAGCTACTTGGAAGGCAGAGGCAGAAGGATCACAAGTTCAAGGTCAGTCTGGCAAATTTAGTGAGACTCTGTCTCAAAATAAAAAGATCTGGGAATATAGTTCATGCTAGCATGTGTGAGGCTTCCCATTACTGAAGCAAACCAACCAAGAATGGAGCAAAATTTAGTTATACACATTTTCTAAAAAAACATTTTTCCATAAAGAAAGAAACTACACTGACCTAAAGAAAGCTGAATGCAGTAGTTCTCTTGTTCTAGCTGATATTTTGATACTGACCTTGTGAAAAATGACTATATTCTTATGCCTATAAAAGAGAGTGACTTCCCAAATTCTTTTGATAATGGGATCTCCTCATGCCAGGGGGTGATACAAATGTGAAAACTCTCCATAGGTAAGAACACTTAGCTAAAGAATAATAGGAGAAGGATTCTTGGGGTCAGTCACAAAAAGCAGCCAATGAGACTAGAAAGTGGTTCAACAGTCAGAAAATGATATGGTTTTCTCTTTCTTCCTCAGCACTCTCCTTTCTTCAAAAGTAAATATATATATTTTTTGCCTCAGCTTTATTTTTCAAACTATAATCAAGTCAAGCCAAGCCAAGTCAGACTATTCATTTGTTTTCTTTCTGAGCTAAGGCAAACAGATCTAATTTCATTCTGAGACAAGGCAGGTGGGCTTAATAGACAGTACAGGGGTGGGGTAAAGAGGAGGGATGGCAACTGTGGGAGGGTATCAGTTATAATTTATCTTGACTTAGTAAGGCTTCCTTTCTGCATGATATGCTACTCAACAAATGGAGATACACTCCACTTAAATAATGGCTCACATTATTAGAGTGCTGTGCTTAAAAAGGACTTCTAAGCTGCATTAGCTTGAGTTAGCACTGCTGATGCTCATCTTCAAGGGGTCAGTCCAAGAATGAATCTATTTAACATCTTCATCAATGACCAAGATAATGGGAGGGAAATATCGGGCCTGCTAATTAACTTTAGGAAAGGCATTAGACAGAGAGTAGGGGTGGTTTGCACATTGCAGGACAGGTTATGAATTCTAAATGGCCTTTGCCTTGACAAAGCGCTTGTCAATTGCATTCAAAATCTTAAAGACTATTTGTGTTTTGTACATTCCTGCAGGCAAGGCTAAGAAAACAAATAGATGAACTCTTGATATTGTGAACCTGTGGGCTCTGTTTGTGGAAGCAGAGGCATCAGCACTTGCTTTTAGTAGGACCATTCATTTCTTATAGGTATACTCCCAAATGAGTTTCTGTTCTTAATATAAGACTCTTTCTCAGAATCTCAAGGCATTGCCTCACCGGTGTAAGACAAGAAACAACTACAGAATTTGTGGGGCCTTTTGCAAGATATTGAAAGATCCCTTGTTCATAAAACAGGAAAAATGCTGTTATAGGAACTAAGATAAGGCATTTTTCCCATTGTCTCCCTATCAATTTGTTATGCTATTTTTTCATTTATTATTTACTATCATTCTAAGAAAGGAAAAATTAAAGATTTGAATCATAAGCATAAATGCTGTCTTTCATCTTTGTGCAGTATTCTGTCAGTTTAAAATACAAGTATGCTGGCCCTGAATTGAATTAAGGCCGGCAGCTTCTTGATGCTGTTGGTTTTAAGCAGGAGCCTAAAGAGATGTCTTTCTATGGTCTGTTGGCCATTTCAGAACTTGGGCAGTGAAATGGTCAATACATTAGAAAGAAACAGCTTGAATCAACCTCTCCCCACCCTGGTAAGCTGCTGTGAGCGTGGCAGGCTCTGGTGGCCCAGGATGGGAGCCACTGGCATCTACTGGGACCTGTGCCATGCTGGGACTTGGAGTGCTGGGAAAGCAAGCAACCCTTCCCCCCCTGGTGAGCGGCTGTGAGTGTGGCAGGCTCCGGTGCCCCAGGACAGGAGCCATTAGTGTTTACTGGGACCCGCGACATGCTGGGACCTGGAGTGCCGGGAAATCAAGCAATCCCTCCCCCCTTGCCTGTTTTGTTTTGTTGAGCTTCAGTATACATGAAGGTGTAGACAGCTATTTTGAGGGAACCAGAAACTCTATGACAGCCATTAGTGAGTTCCCTCTCATCTGGTTTTAAAGACCTAAAATGCCTTTCTCGTTCAGTTCAGATCAGTTTTATACTATGTTGTTTTGTATGAATTCTCTGTATGTGAAGACAAGGACAACATCTCTGTATGCGAAGACATGGAAAACAAGAGACAGAATGACAGACAGTGAAGATCTCAGGTCATCTAGCTTTGAAATTTGTATCTCATACATTCCTGTCTTATGTCCTATTTTGTTCTGTTTAATTTTACCACCTTTAAAATAAAAAAAAAAAAAGAACTAGTGCTATATCAGCCTAAGGGGGAAAAAATAAAAAAAAAATGCAAGTATGAGAACATTTAACTGACATGCAGAATCAACAAAATTAAATGTGTATTTTATAGCTTATATATGCATCTGTAGTTCATTCTTCCAAGAAGAGTGGAAAAGTGCACAAAACTAATTCAAAAGTAGTTTTTATATTTCTTGGCATGAAAATTCTACCAAGATTTTTATCCTTGCCTTACTGTTAAGGAAGGACTGAAAGGCAAAGGAACGGAGGGCTGCTCTTCCATGGCAGCCTTTTCAGGAAAGCAGTTTGGTTAGTACCAGGATGTAACATTGATGAGAAAGGACACAGAGCATTCCTGGTTGTTCCAGTGATTTAGAACACCATTATCTTCTCGCTAGCCTTCTTTAAACAGAAAGTGTGGCTTGTCAGGACTCTCAGCACCTCTGCTTCTTCAGTCATTGCTGCAGTACTCTTAATTTGTGCTTGCTTTGAATCTTGATCCGCTCTCACATGTTGTGGGTCCACTGAATGTGTCTGATCATACGGATGTCAGCTGTCTGCTAATGGTGTGGCAAGAAATGGTAGATGCTTGTGTTGTGCTTATCTCCTTTGCCATGCTCATGCTTTATTGTTCCTGTGGATTTCACTTGCAAAACCTAAATTAAAAAATAAGGTTGTAGGTTGGAATTATATAATCCCAGCTATATGAGAGGCTGAGGCAGGAGGACCTAAATTTGAGTCCAGCCCAGATAACTTAGCAATAGTATCAAAAAACAAAAAGTTCTAGGGATGTAGCTCAGTGGTGCCCTTTGATTCAATCCCAATCACACACACACGTGCACACACATACGCACATGCGCACGCACACGGCTGTTTCCTTGGATAAGATTTTAGATTTGTGTTATTCCTACAGCCAACAAACAGAAAGTCCCTTGAGTATACTTCAAAAGGAATTATCAAGATAACAGATTACTTTCAGCTTTAGTATGTAAAAATGCAGCAGCAGAATTCTAATGTCCAGGTCTAAAAATGCATGGAGACTCTCTCTTTTTTCCTCTCTTCCTCTCTCTCCTTCCTTCCTCTCTCCCTCCATTTTTCTAAAAGTGGTAGGATATCTTCTAATATATTTCAGGTTTTTTCACTGTGTATGAAGGATCTAGAAAATATTTTCAGCCTTTGATTTGGTGTTTGAGTGGCTGTCAGGACTTTGTCTCCTGATCTCAGATGTTTGTACCTCAGGTACCAAAGACAGCAGTCACACCTTGTCCTTCTACCCTTCCTCTCTGACATTGGTGTCATGCAAAATGACAAGGCTTCTGTAACTGATGAATTCATTTTAACCTTGGGAAAAGTAAAAAATCTGTCCAAATCCTATTTCTTTCATCTGTTGGAAGGTTATACTGCCTATCTCACAGACATAATTTGAGAATTTAATGAGATAATGAACGGGCCTAATAGCATTGTAGTTGTTATGGTTTGTATTTGAATATTCCCCTAAAGCCTCATGTGGTCCTAGGGAGCAGGCCTTTGAAAGGAGCTAGTCTAGTGTTTGTGACTGCCTGGTTCATTGTCTAGTGCTGGCGTTGGCAGTGCGAGTGCTGCAACTGCCCAGGGGTGGGCACTTAGCATACAGTATAAGGGAGGGAATGAAGTATACTTTCCCCTTTTTGCCCTGTTTCTGTGTCTTGTGGCCACCTTTAATGGTTGCCCCTTAGCCATGTCATTGTGCCTTGGAATTTGTTCCACCAGATTAATTAGTCCATAGCCCTTAATCTCAGTGTCAAGCAAAGTCTCTGGACATGATCAAAATGCAGACAAACTTTTCTGCCAAGCCATAAAACACATTATCTGGAGTCCAATAATCAATGCAGTCTTCCTTCCCAGCAAAAACTTCATGAGCCTGGTTTTTACTGGTTTGACTGGTTTTTATTTTCTTCTGAGCAGGCTCTCCCATTCAGAACAGCCTAAAAGGTGCCAGCTTTATAATTTCAGATGACAACTTCAAACCTTTCCAAAGCCTTCCCACAAGCCATTCCCAAAGGCTCTTGAACCACACAGTCAGGTACAGTCACAGCAACAACCCCACTCTCATTACCAAGTTCTGTCTTGGTTACGTTTCTCTCATTGCTGGGGCAAAATACCTGACACCCAAAGCGAAAGAAGGAAGGAAGGGTTTATTTAGCTGACAGTTTGTGGAGATGTCAGGCCAGAATCAGCTGGCTCCAAGACAGAGTAACACATCATAGAGTTCAGGGTGGAAGAAAACAGCAGCGAGACACCACAGCCAAAGAGGAGAAGCACAGAGAGAAGACTCTGTCCCTTATATCATAGGTAGGTCACACCCACTTGGATGCGGCACTCACACCCATAATCCCAGTACAGGATCATGCGTCATTCACAAGCTCTAGAAGCCCACCTCCCTGACTACGTGAGGCTTTTGAGTGATATCCAGACTAAAATTGTAGCAGCAGTCCTATTATTTGTAGTCTACTAGGTTCTTTCTGAGAAGTTAATGCAGGAAATAAATCACTATTTGTGCTACATTCACGCTCAATATTTATCTGCATTTAGGACATTAATTATTATTCCCATAATCACTTATTTAATGTTATTTTATTATGTGTTATATTCCTTCCCATCCTAAGGGTTTCCATCTTAGCTGTGCCAAGGTGGGTGCCTGATAGTTTTAGAGTAGAATGCTGACATAAAAATATAGCATTACCTTTTTATGCTATCAGATTTCATGCATTAGCCAAACCAATTAATTTTTTTAAAAAATCAAGCAGAAAAATATGCATTGGTGCATCTCATATTTATAACTATAATCTATTTCTCATGTTGGTTTGGGTTTTACCCTTAGATTGCTTCTTAGTTCAGTGTTTTTTTAATACAAAACTTACATTTATTATAGAAAATTGAAAATGTAGAAAAAATTATATACACTGAAGATAATGAGTGTAATTTTTCCCTTTCCAGTCGTTTTTAAATGTCCAGCTTTAAAAGTAGAGGACTGTTGGGTCCTCTATGTATAGCATTTAATATTCTGTTTTTTCATGTAGTATTACACTGAATCATTTTTTCATGTTACAGTCTGCATGAACATTTTCTTGGCTGCAGAACTATTGCAATATGGATTATATTTAAAACTTCCTTTATTTTCTGTCACTCTTTATAATAAATTCTGTGAGGGATGTCTTTTTAAATAAACCTTTTCCATTTTTTAAGGTCATATCATTAGCATGGATTCCCAGGAAAATATTGTTAAGACACTTCACACATTTTAAGTCTTTTTATATTTGTTGAATTTCTTTCTAAACGAGTCATACCACTTTTTATTCCTGCTATGGATTCATCGTAATGCTGGTCTCTGTCTTTATGGTAAGCCTTGCTATTTTCAAAAATGAAAAATGACAGCATTTTGTTAAATATAGATTTTTGTTATTAGTGATGAACAAGCACTTTGTTATGTGTTTGCTTTTTGACTCTAATTTCCCTGTCATGATGTACATCCAAGATGTACTGCTTCTTTTTCTTTTTCAAAGTAGTGCTGGGAATACGCTGTACATTTCTGCATGTCAATTTTAAAGACACAAACTTAGCACCGTACTTCAATTTTTTTTTTCAGCACTGATGATTGAATCCATATGTTCTGCATATTAGGTGAACATACTATCGGCTGAGCATCTCCGGTCTTTTTATTTTATTTTTTAAAATGTTGAGTCAGGATTTGCTAAAGTGCCCCAGCTGATCTTGGCATGAAATCCTTTGTCTCAGACACTAGAGTGGCTGGGATTATAGGAATATGCCACTGTGCCTGGTTCCCACCATTCACCCTTGTAGTGAAGAGGCACGGAAGGAAAATACTGAAATAATTTTATGGAGCTTGTATCATTTCTGAGGCCGCTACTTCCCCTAATAAAAATTAGAAAAAGTCGACTTTATGTCAAAGTGCTATGAATAGAACTGGTTTATCTCTGTTCCTGTGCTTATCCTGTTACTTCATAAAACTCAGATTTTTCTCTTTCTGACGATTTTCCTAGTTTTGGCTTTTGGTTATGCATCTTTTTAAAAGTCTGATGTCACAAGAAGCCTTAGGTTTTTGTTTATTAGCCTGCTTGGTTTTTGTGCTTTGTTTTTTTAAAGATTCAGGCTGTTTTACTACATTAAGGAATCCTAGGGCAAATAATGTTAAGAAACACTGCATTAGGGCACCAAACTCTCTCCCTGAAGCTAAAACACATCTTTTTAACCAACGAACCAATTTTTAGAATTCCGAGCTAAAAAGGAAATGAAATGAAAGGCAGTCTACATTAATTTCACTTAGTCCTGTTGTTTAATTTATGTACTGAGCTTGTTAATTCCTTTTAGACACGGGCATGGAGGGG